CTCAGATGTATTCCGGTGAATAGCAAATCGAACCGAATGTTTAATCTGACCCGAAGCCGATTTGTAAGTAAATAAGCCGGAACTAGCGCTCTGGCCATGGCTAGCTCGAGTAATGTAGGTATTAGTAGGTCCGCCTCCGCTGAATCTTACTCGAAAACAATTGTTTTTACTGTACACAAAAGTGTACATGTAATCGTCTCTGTTCTAACATTGTACATATAGATATGCCATATACACAATCATCATTGTACATGTATACTCTGAACGACATATTTATATTCGTCTACTGTAGAGTAATTTGATACACAAAAACCACACATTTATAGTAAAATTGTCGTTTGATAAGGTGGTGAGCAGATCTCGTTTTCGAATGACCGCATAGCGGTAATACTATTGCAGTTGTTATTATGGACTTGCCTATTCGATCCTGAGCCATGTTTAAAAAAGCCGCAAGCATATACTGACGCCAATGGTGTAGCACGATCAGGCGCACGCATTACATGTAGCAATGAGTACACGCTCCAAGGCTAAACTTGGAATGCTGAATCATGTTCACTAAAACCGCCCTACCTAGCCACCGAAAACGGCCTTGACTACGCTCCGGGTACATTATGCACGCGTTATTATACCTAAACTTACTTATAATTATCACCGCAGTTTTTACACCTGCTAATATATTTGAGTGGATCCGAAAGCTGGTTTAATCTGGCCAGTCGTATTTTAATGCAATCGTCTTTACAGTTTTTATATGAAAATTTTTTAAGAAAGGTTTCTTACTTAGATGCTTTCAGTAATTATCCAAAATAAATTTAGCTACTCGGCGATGCCTTTTTTATCCCTGGCGTACGTGACAGGAGACTAGACTCTGATCATAGTGGCAGTTAGCGGGCTGTCGTTGCATACACTGGGGTTCATTATCGTACCAGCTGAGACAGAAGCAGACAGCAATACTCAATGGTACCCGTTGCTGCACCTGTCTGGGAAACATGCGACGAGACAAAGCAATTGCGCGACAAAGTTCGAAATCAACACAGATACAGAAACTTATTCTTATCAAAGTCAACTTCACCGAGATGGGCTTTTGCGTTTACTATTGCCCAGCTATAGATGTGTTTCCTTACTCTTCCACGCACATACGGACATATTGGTATCGAATATATTGTAGGGTCTTCCTGTCGACAAGACAAAGCGGTTCGGTGCCACAAAAAAGCTTAAAGCCAAGTAGCACGTACACGCCGCAGTTGTACTGTCCCCTAGTCCCGTCTTAAACGTACCCGCGCACAAGACACATTCACACCACATGGCAATAGTGACAAAAAATTTTGAACCACATCTTTACTTACGCCTAGAATGTAAGAGGAAAACGACTAGTTGTACACATACGCTTTGCCTTTTCTAGGTCTATCATGACAACACACCAGTGGTTTCCGTTGCAGTTCACTGGTATCAGCATCCTCTCGTTCTTCATGATCTGATAACGCGCGGCAAATGATCGTCGCATCAGTCTGAGTCTGTCCGTCCCCAGTAACTCCCAAGGTAGCGGGTTTGATAGGAATGACATAGGATTTATCACGATATAGCTTCATTAGAATAATTTTGAACCACTGCATGTTGAGCAAACTGGCCTTTCCAAGCGCATCGTGGGCTATAATAGAAAAGATATTGTACTTCGTCTTTGTACCGTGAGTAGCGTTGATCATGAGGGCCTCAGGAAGCGATTAAACAAATCTCTCATATGCTTTGTTTGCCGCGTAATGCATGTGGTAATGTCCTACATAAACCAGGTCATCCCACCGTTAGTATATTATTCGCTGGGAGAAACATCAGTTCAATAGCATACCTTATCTTGTACCCGACAAATATGCGACCGATGTTGACCGTCTACTAGAGAATTTTATTTTTTTGCTTGCACCAGCCTTGCGAAGTTCGTGGACAGTCTCCACGGTATCCGATTCGATTGCAGTTCTGTTTTCTGGGTATTGAATAAATGTTCGTCTGCTAAGAGCGTGGTTATGATCCAACCAGACCGATGTAATACGCAGAGCAAATTCTGGAGATGTAGAGTCCACCGCTTGAACACAGGCTAGACCTACACGTGCAAGATAGACCAGCAGTTGATTTAAGTCACCCAATTTTATGCCAACTGAGCCCAAATAAGCCTGCCCGAACCCAACTAAATCAACTGAAAACAATCAAAGGGGGGCAGACCTTACACGAGCTTCACACATCATCGCGGTAGATAACTGTCTCTTGTACTTCCCCTTGCGTCGAGGTTAGTACTTGCCTGTATGCTTGCATACAATCGTCTTGCCACAGTAGTTCCAGCTTTCAGGCGCTAGAGAGGCAGTGGAACGCAGCGCTTGATTCTTCGTGTTTCGATCTTGAACCTTGTTATTGGTACAGACTCGAAAACTCTGTAGGTTATCAGGTGTAACGTGGTTACACGCAAATGGCTACATGTAGCCACTTGGTTACGAAGGGTTTTCACATTCAATGAGCTATTACCTGGAAGTTTTCTCTCATGCAGCATTGTAGGTCAGTGTGGAGATCTTCCCACAAGCCAAATTACATCTGGATAAGCGGGGGGGGAGGGGGGGGGTTGCGACGACGTCATTCCCTTCTATGTCGTGATGCATCTAGGTGCCGTTGTACAAAATGAGTGCGGGAACTTAGCGTATACAGAAAACGTTATTTGGACTATCCCTCTGACAAGAATTGAAATTTCGTTCCGATTCCACGACAGCGAAAAACTGCCTCTCATACCCAATAATAATCTCAGAATAGCACAAAATTAGCGGTCATCTAAAGGTCACTGGGTTGTGGGTCAATCGCGACCCCGGTGAGGTTGTCTAGTCTTCAGACTGTATCAGCAGTGGGTAGACAGCACTGCGACCCCGGTGAGGTTGTCTAGTCTTCAGACTGTATCAGCAGTGGGTAGACAGCACTTGGCTAGCGTAAATAAG